ATCATTCTAGGGAGCATTGTGTCCTCTTTCCTTGCGCAACCAAACTTTTCCCACCCTTCCACGCTTGTCCTTCGCTTCGTTGCCGAAAGGCATGAGGGACGCGTCCGAATATTCACCAATTTCACGAACACACGCGATCGATTAAGGTGTTTGAAAAATTCACCCACACCAGACAGCGTTTCCTTATTACTTGACTTTTCATTTTCAGACTTTTTTTTATCATCTTCTAGCGAGAGAAATTTCGAGAGCTGTCTCTAAATATTAAAAACTTACAAGTGCATAGACAGATAATCCTATGGAAGAATTTTATAAAAAAATCCGATAATTACATAAAAGATCCTGCATAATATGACAAACATTTTAATTAAATTCACAGCAGACTTAATAATAATCATAATATTCTAGATATTTTGAATCTGTCCAATATATCCGGATTTTTGTACATCATCACTGCGGTGCTGCGGGCGATATTCCAGCGTGGCTCGTATCGTCGATATCAACGAGCGTTTTCATTTTTCTCCATTTTTCGTCGGAACGAGGTAATATTTTCGCTACGAGCCTCGGGACTTCCTAGTCCTGTCAAGTTACTGGAAGGACACGGCAAATCCCGCGGCATCGCCGCGCCCGGGATCAAGGAGGGTGGTGGAAAGAGGAATTGGAGACGTATATACGGTGGCGGAAATACGTGGCCTAGAGGGTTCAAGGATGTGCGACGTTGTCTTCCACGGGGGGTGGATTTGCCTTGGAGGAATCCGCGGTCTTCACAGAGGGAGGGAACCATCCCGTTAAGCCACCATGATTCCACGAGATAAACCCCCATATTATGTCGCGTGGGATTATGCGGAAAACCAGCCACAAGACGCGACGACCCGCTGTCTTTGTGTGCGCCCATGACTCGCGGTATATATATATATATATATATATATGCAGTACAATTCTGTAGGTGTGTATAAAGATTTTACGAGCGCGCCACGTCTCACGGAGACGATCGTGTCTTCTCGAGAAAAAAAAAATTTCCCCGCGTTACAAGAAGAAAATTAAGAAAGCTTAGGATAAGAAAGGGTGCGTAGCTTGCGCACGTACGCACCCTTTTATTATTTTCTCGCTGACGGCTTCGTGACAAACGAGCTAAGACACATTCGCGCTATGAAAATATAATCTCGTAAAGATTATGTGAAATATTGCGTTCATACTGATATTGTATGAAGTATATCACAGAGTATGTTTGCGCATTGATTAAGTTAAATTATGAATTCGTATAGATGTAAATAATTAGGCACATCGAATTGCGAAGAAAAGAAACACGCATTTGTGTTTAAAGACTTTTAACTTTTCACAAATTTCCTAAAATGTCCAATTATCGGAGTTTATATTATTTCCAGAATATTTTCGTTAAACGCGATAGAGTTTCAAAAGTCTTATAGCCCCGCATCGCGTCAGGTTTTTAATATCCGAAGGCGAGATCGTTACGAAAAAAACGAAAGCATCACTTCCGCTGATGGCCGAGCATGAATGGTCCGTTTATCGTTCGAAAAAAATCCACCAATGATTCTCTATAAAGGAGCTCCGAGCCGGGGGCTCGTATTTAAGGGATTTTAAGGAACCATCGCTTGGACGAGTTTTTCGTTTGGTGTCTTCGGGGCCAGCGCATTTTTAATTAAGCCGTAAATCCAAGTGTCGCGGACCGCCTTTATTGCGGGCCTAAACTATATCGGTCGCACTCTTAAAAAGATACAACACGAGACAAAATTCTTGCCGAACGATTCGCCTCGTGTTTTCGTGTTCACGTCGCGCACGGAGCTCTCGCTGGGAGGCGTCTTTTTTATCTCGAACTACCCTTGGAAAGGCGCGCGAAATGTCCTGCATCCTTCGTCGTAATGATCGGCCCCATTGCCAGGAATGTCGTAAACAGAATCAAGGTGGTCCGGGGGGATGATTCGTCCTCCTCCCTCCCGTTCCTTTTTTTTCTTATTTTCTTCTATATAAGTCAACGCTCTTAAAACCTTAATGTCCCGGATTTCATTGCCTCTTATTCTCACGTGAGCGCGATCGTTAATGTGGACTCGATGAGACACATGGAATTCGCGTAGTACGCGTGACAGAATAGCTTATATGGTTCCTGATTATCGGCGAATCAACATATATCTGACTTAATCGTGATTCTTTCGACTTTTCATTCTTTTCATCTCTTCTTACTGCTATATCGAGCTCTTAAATTTTTGCAAAATATGTGGATGAAAGCAATAATATATACAATTTATTGTACTTTTCTTCTTAGGTACTTTACTTCTTATGCACGCACACAACAGACAGAATAGAGATGGCTTATCAGATTTTAATTTTAAAAAATTGAAGAATGACTTATCGAAGAAATGATACACGATAAGATAGACAACTTTCCATATAATTATAATGTATTAGAAGTGACACGAAGAATGATCTTCAACGATGACAAAAAATACATTGCATTCTTCAATACATAAAAAATTGAAGAAAAAATTGAAGCGCTATGAGACGTTTGGAGTCTTGGTGTTTGTTTATGCAACGGAGAATAAAACGGTAACAAAAGACCAATGCCCTATCACTGTTGAGTCATTCTCGCATCTCCGTTAGCCACTTGGGCAAGACAGGAGAGAACAACGCCAACGGAGAACTCAAAGGAGAACGGAACGTCGTATAAATACAGAGAGAAGACGGTGAGAGGCGAGAAGGACGCATAGATACAGGTCGCATCCGTTGCAGCTCGTCGCCTTCCACTTCCATTTGAATAAAAGCAACGATAAGCACATCCTTAGAGTCGCTCGCAGTTTCTGAATTGTTTCCGCTTCTTAAACCCCCGACAAATTTATTATAATAACTACCCTTAGAGCCGGCGGATCTCTCTCGCAGTTCGCTCTCTCTCCGTCTTCCACCGTCGCCAACCTCTTCGGGTCTCGCAGTCGTTTCGTCGTCTCTCTTTCTATCCGCGCCGCCACCACTCTTACGCTGCTTCTTGGCCTGCGCACCAGACGCTTCCACCCCACCGTCTACCCTGAATGTGAATGCGCCTCTGTTGTTCATACCCGTCCCTCTCTTCGTTGCCCTCTCCCATGCCACCGCCTTCGGTTTTCTCTCGCGAGGAAGAACTCCCTTTTCTCCGGGTAGTCGCCGGGCGAAAGGAAGGATCGCTCCCGCGAATAATGTGTTTCTCTTTTACCACGTGGCGAGGAAGCTTGGGATAACGGAGACTGAAGAAGAGCATCAGTTGCAATATTCTTAGCGCGCGAACAACGTCAAGTTTTCTGAATATTTCGAGTCGGTTTACGACCCGTGCGGCAGTTAATCATTTTACGATAATTACACGCTTTAAAGCCACAGAGTCGGATAATTCTCTTCTTATTAATCCAGCAGACTCAATTTGAAACTCGCGGTTTATAGAAATATTGAAAAATAAATATATAATAAAAATATTGTATAAATAAAATATTATAAATTTCTATTATATGTACACACATGTATATAATTAATCTGATTTTTGTTTCTGCAGCTACTCTTCATTATTCAATATTGCATCATATTTTAAGGAATTAATTCATAAATATTTTGCGGATATATCATTCTTATATACTTTGTTTATTAACTATTATATTATAAAATTTTAGGGTTTAGAATAAACCCATATCTTTCTTTAAATCTATACATTTAGGTATAAAATTAATAATTTAAATACTTTAATTCATATAATATGTGTGTAAAATTATACATGTACAGAAGTTTGAGTAGTTGCAAAAATCAATATTAATCGCACCGCTATCGAATACTGCAAACTTCCAAAACGAAAAACATCTGTAGAAACATTTAAACAAAAAAATCTCTTTTCCATGGAAGATACCACCATCACATCTCGACGTGATTTAAGCAGACGGTAGGTCGTGTATATACGGTTCACTCTTAATATTATCCGCTGTAACCGCCGTGTTATGGTGTCCGTAAATAGGCGCTGGCTCGACGCGTGTATTTTTCCGTCTCGCGGAACCACGGCCGCTGAAAACAACATCGCGGAAATTATATGCGGCAGGAGGAAGACGACGGACAAAGTGGAAGCCGACGGAGGGGAAAAAGAATGAGAAGAGAGAGAAAGAGAGAGAGAGAGAGAGAGAGAGAAACAAAGCGGAGAGAAGAGACTCTGAAACGGGCGGTTGCCTCGCCTCGGTATGGTATTTACGACGTCATTTCCTCGCTGACTGTCAATAATTTCCCTAGGGGATGCGCGGAAGACACTATGCTTCTTATGTGCCTCCGCACGTCTTCGGACGCAGCTAACCGTCGTCTTTCTATCCACCTATCTCTTGCCCGCGTCACTTTTTTTCATCTCTCTTTTTTTCATCCCTTTCACTTCGAATTGAAAAGACGTCGAAAGCAAGGTCGGCCGAAAAGTAATACCGTACAGATGAGAAAAATGTGTAAAAGGCTCGATGAAGATCGATTACGCGCTTTCGATAATTTACTTGTACACACGGTACATGCTGATTTTCCTCGAGTCGGCTTCGACATTTAAATGTCGAAGCGTACGAGCGAGAATTACAGGCACTTATTACTTCGATCAATCTAACCTTTCGAATTAATGACAGCCTTGTTAATTCCAGATTTAATTATCCACCTCGCGACGGCTACTTTCTATTAAATAATGCGCGTGTAAAAGTGCATAATAAACACTAATAAAAATTACACGCGCTGACAATTATAATTATATACGCACGCACACGTAGATTTAAATATGCTATATATAGTTAATAGTTAATATATTTGCTTAACTATTTCTATCAATTATTGAATAATTATACCTAGATAGTTAATCAAGATGGAGAGAAAAAATATCCTCAAATATATTATTCAAGTACACCCTTTCTGCTTTGAACGTGGAAATTATATAAGATAAGCAAGAATAATGTTAGATTAAAGGATAGTTATAAAAATATAATAACTGCGAAAATAAAAAAAATACACATATGTAGCTATATTACATGCGTAATGATATAATAATTGTCGAATGTATATATTCTACCATTCTATTATCCATACTTTACTTCTCGCCATAAAATTTTAATTAATCTCATAAAGATAAAAATCAATAAATGTGAAAATTTATGCTCATGATTTAATACCGTATTCAATACGGCATATAAATCATTTTGATAAAATACGCGATCGTTCTATTAACTTTTGTAATTATATAAAAAAATTATGTATACTCATTTACATGCATATCGGCCAGTTTGCGCGCGACTAGTTATTATGCCGCGAGCCCCTTTAAAAACAGTTAAACGCGGGGAAATTGCAGCTTCAAGAAGCAAGACAGCGCGTTGTCTAATGAAGCATCTCCTTTAACTAATTTACAATCAGCGCTTCCTCCCGTGCCGGTCGAGACGTGGACGACGGAGCGAGATGCCGCGGAGGGGTGCGAAGAGGGAAGAGGGGAGCGGAGAAGAACAAGTACCTAAGTTCTATACTTTCTCTGTCCCGAGATTATCGCCGCCTCCGTGACCCAGAACTCTTTAATTTTCGCCATCGATACCGTAGCATCCTCTTTAACTCATTAGACTCAATCAATTATACGGGCGTACGATTACTGTAGTCGGCTTTCTCCTTCTCACTCTTCTCTTCTCCTCTCTGTTCTTCCCCTCCCCATGCTCTACCGTCCCTCCCGTGTCGTCCTGTTCAACAACCCCGTCTTAATCCCTCGACCGAGACCCCGAGTGGTATCCCGAGATACTAGGGTTTACCAAGGTAAACCTCTTAGCGTTCCGATGCCATGGGAAGTCAAGGTCGCGAGACACGTGATCCGTCGAGCTTCGGAGAACTTGGTGAACGATATTGGCCGAATCCTGCATGGTTTCAAACACACCTACCTGCAAACAAAAGGGAGGATTACGTTAATAGAACTCATAAAAAAATACTTATATTAGATTATGCTTATTTTTGATGTCTTAAACATAATATTTACATATTGCTATGTTTGATGTAGTATGGAAACTCTCAAATTCTAGATGAAATTCTAATATATATATATATATATATATATATATATATAATCACATAGACTATTTTTAGACCTAAAATATACGTCAATATGGAAATTAATATATATTAATTCATGTACTATTAAAAAAATAATAAAATACATTTGTTTAAAGTTATAATCAATGACCAATACTCCAGTTGTAATAGAAATAAAAGAATTAAGCAAAATATTTTTGAGTACAAACATTGATTTCTTCAGCGAGGCTAAAACGATAAGAAACAAAGATACGATTCAGCCAGCTACAATCTCGCTCTAAAACATGCAGGCTTTGTTATCCCAATTTAATGCATAGACATCTGAAAAGGCGTTACAGCAGGATGGCCCATTTGTTCTCTACATGTCCAAGGCTATAATGTCATACGATAAGACGCGGGTCGCTTAGTATGTTAGCCAGCAGTTAAAACCTTATCACAGTACATCTCGTGTTATTCGTCAAGGCGTGACGAGTGGGTGGAATTTTTATGTCTTCGAAGTGGCAGCGTTCCCTACCAAAATTGCTTAAATAAAACTCGAGAAGTTAACGTCGAAACGTTGCTATAGCCGACCGACGATTAACTTGATCAATTGGATATTCGAACATTGTTGCGATGAGCACCGACAAGCTACATTTTATGCAAACAAATTAATTTAATGGTTATCGATTTCACATGTGACTATATGTGTAATAACAGCATAATGTATGTGCATGCCTTTTGTTCGGCGAATTACGAGTACTTGCTAGTAGAACGAATCACACAAATGTATACTAACAAACTCGATTTGTGCTTTAAAATAATCACATTTTATATTGTAAATACGAATAAAAATTAAGAATTAGAAAATGTACCGAGCATTGTATCAATCAATAGATGATCATTATTTACTCATTTATTAACATATTTTAATTGAAGTTAAACAGTCCTAGTTTGAATCATAAATTTATCTTAAACAATATTTTCCAATTCAAATTCAAAAAGTAATGCTTAATAAAACTGAAATTTATTAAGATGTATAATGTAAATAATCCCGCATCTCAATTAATAATATATTCAATATATATTCAAAATGTATTTAATTAAATAAATGTATATAAAAATAAATATATTGATATATAAATCAATTTTTATAATTATTAATTAGTTTTTTGCATTTTGATTGAAATAAATATTTTATAAACAAAAAGATTATTGAGATTGATTTTCATTGCTTTTATCAATATGAGACTTTAAAAATTTAGAAGAAATACAGTGAAGAAATCATGCTAAGGAAACGGGTGTGGTAGAAGAAACGGTGTCGACACGATTCGTGATATTATGCAGGACAGACTGGCAGGAAACGGTGTAACATCAGCCATAGGCTCCATGTACGAGGGTGGAATATGCTTAACGTTAATTTGTACGATAAAAGAATTATTGATTTTTACTTAGGCAGCCCAGTCAAGGGTGAGACAGAGAAAGAGAGAGAGAGAGAATGTACGGATGGGGGAACCTTGCTTTAAAGTGGAGGTACTAATGAGACGCCTTTAACGCATCGTTATGCTATCTCACAGCTGGAACCTTAAGTTGAAGATGCCATTCGTTTATACGAGCAAAGTATTACTTTCTTAATATTCTAAAATACTTTTGACAAATGTAATTATGTTACTAAATATTCTATGAAGAAAAAATAGAATCGCCATTATAAAACATTCTATCAATATATTAATTAAGAAAACCGAGATACATTTATTCTCAATAAAATATTTAGTTGTTTGTTTTTTTTAAATAAATTTACGTTAAAATTAATAATTAAGAATTTGGCTCAAATAAATAAATAAAAATTAAATTTTTAATTTACATTAAATTACATAAAAGAATATTCTTCTAGTTTGGAAAACATATTCATTGCATATTTTTTTAAATTGTAGATCACTTGAAAACTTTACTTACATAGAACTGGCATGATATTAATTAACGTGATCGGTACGAGCGAGTTCAGCTGTCAAGTTGTACATGCTCATGTAAAAATCGCGTACATTATGTGCATGTGAACCGTTGCGGCCGCGACGGCTTTGCCGCGTCTGAAAATTTGGAGTAATAGGAAAACTCCTGAGCGGAAAAGAAGTTCAATCTAGCCGGGCGAGGGAGAAGCTTGGAAAAGCTCTTTGGGCTCCTTTGATTCCAACTCGGCCCCTACCACCTTCTAAATCTTTTCCCCACCTCCTTTTCCTCACCCTCCTCTCAACCACCGTCGCCTACGACTCCATAACGTTTTTCACGATAGGAAGAAGCTTCCAAAAGTTGCTTTGCCAAGTTGCCCTGCGGCCGTGCATCGGGCCAGTCTCTAAAAATCTGACTTTCTTCTTCGCTTTCTTTAACCACCGTTGCGGATAACCGTCTACGGTCGGGATGGATGTTCTCTCTATATTTACGGTAGGGGAATGATGAAAGAAGAAAGTGATGGAAGGAGACCGCATTCGCATTTTAGCGATCGTCGAAAGGCAGGAGTAAAGAGAAGAGTTGCACATTTAAGGTTTGCAGTAAAATCATGTTTTCCATCTAAGAAATTTGATTCTTTCTCTCGAATTTGTGTTTATTAATTGAAGAATGATAATCAGAAAAATGATTCGTTGAGAAACAAGGCAATGTTTATAGAGAAATATATTCTACTTGTCAACAAATATATAGAATTCGTATAATTTTATATACGTGTATATGTTTTAAATCATATTTAATCTTGATGAAAAGAACGAAACATATTTTTATTAATTTGCAATAGCTTGATATGTGTTGACGAAACATCTTAATAAATTCTTCGATACTTTATTGAAAATCTGTCTGAGTTAAATATACTATTGTAGAGCATTTTGCACATACATCATTATTGTTTAAAATTTATGTTACTCTTCGTTCTTATAAAGATTAAAAATGAATTTTACTCAATTAATAACTGTGTACCGTATTTTCACATATCAATCTTCAACAAAAATTTATAATTTTAAATTAAAATTAAAATTCTTTTAAATTTAAATTAAAATTTCAATTCAAATTTAGCTAATTAGAAAACTATTTCACGGCTAGGCTTTTTTATATTTAACTTTCAATTCCGATTCATGGTTAATTATTAAAGAACACAATCGCAATTAAATACTTCTATTGCAATCCGAAAATGAGCAGCTGGACGAAAATCGCATGTTCCCGACCAGGAAGACATCCGGCCATCGCTGGACGGTCGCGGGTAAGGAAAGAAATAATGAAAGTCCATGCCAGAGGAAAGTGCTCTCTATATTAACAACAAGGCTGTCGAGAGAGCGACACGAAGGTGCGACGAGGGAAAATATAGTGCTTCCATATCCGTGCGCGGCTGTCTATCGATTCTCGACGAGTATAAAGTACTGCGATTCCGCCTGCCGCCGTCGCCGAGTCGACGGAATAAATTTGCGCTCGCCCGGGTAAAACGGGGTGAGAGCCCGCGGAGTGCAGGCGGGCGAACGAATCGGGTAAAAGAGGGGCGCGGTGAGAGGGTGCGATGTCGGAGTCGCAGGACGGGCGGGCGGGCGGGGGGGGGAGGGAAAAAAAGGAAAAGGAAGAGTACACGAGAGGAAATGGAAGAGGCGAACGGGAAGAGGCGTCGGAAAAGCCGGAGCGCGCAACTCCAGACTGCGATGGGAATTTTCGAAACTACCCCGAACTCCTCCGCGCTCGCCATTTCCTCCGTCTCGCACTTTTCCGCCCCTTATTCGTTCCTCCGCCGCTTTGCCCGCGCCGCGCCGCATCGCGCGATCGAGTATCAACGGCAGTCAGCGAGGGAAACGCGTGTAGGGAGCGTTTGTGTAGGTTTCACGTAATGAGAAATCTGGCATGCACCTCAAAGTTGCTTAGCTCGACGGGCTTTTAAAACGCAGAGTTACAAGTTGCTTGATCTTTATCGCGCGAAAAGTCGTTTCAATCCGCTTTAATACCCAATGTCGGATGGGTGTAGAGCCGAAAGCCGGATATATTCGATACCTACTGATAATAGGCAGCTATTTGAAAAAATTTTCATCGCACGCATAATTAAAATGTGAATACAATTACCAGATATTAAAATATTCGTATATATATCTCTCTAATATTTTTGTTGTATCATAAATAATAGCAAAGAAAGAGAGAAAAAGAGAGAGAGAAATAATGGGAAAATATCAATCATTATATCAAAAATTATTCAATAAATATGAAGCACAGCGATAACAGATAATAATTGTAATGGAAATCCACACAAATTGTCTTAATTCATGTTTCAAAAACTCTTTTTTTCTCCTTCTAGCGGGGAAAACAAAAGAGTTATTTGAATTACAATCATTATATAAAAGTATATAATTAATACAATTGCAAAATAACTTAATCAAACATTCTTCATAAAAGCATAAATTTTTATTACGTTCATCTATATGTGATAAATAATGTAATATGATGTGTGCAAATATGAAATAGCTTTCACATAAGCAATCTGTTGCAATCAAAAATCGTTAAAAAATGCATCATGTTTTCCTCGTTATTTTCGTTAGCAAATTATTTTCTTCGTAATCCTCGTTTCATGGTTCTTTCAATATTCATATTCATTTTCAACATCAAGCGAAATATCAGAGATTATCATCAAGAATCATATGCGATGTTATTTCGCAAAAAAGCGCCAAGACCCTTTTATTCTTACCCTTTCCTTAAGCCGCCCCACCGTCGCTTTGGGGTAGCGAAAGCAAGTAAGAGAAAGAAGGGAACTTCTCTTTGGCGATTGAGGATCGTTACGGCAGCTGATTGGCGGGAATCTTGTTAAAGGTTTCGTTTGAATAATCGCCGCTCGATTCGCCGATTTTCATGACTCGATCCTCGC